CCCGACTGCTGTTTAAACTTACATCCATGATGTATCATCTTTGATGTCCGCTTAATATAAAATAGTAAAATGTCTAAAGAAGAGCTATGCAGATATTTCTAAAGGTGCTGAAATAATATTGGAATGCAATCTTTTTCGATGACATTATTGGTCCGGGAGGTTGTGAGTGAAGTACCATTTAGTCATGTCATTTTGATCAGCTAAATCTATCCATCACATCCAGGAAGTTTATGGCAGTATTTCAAATTTCTAGGTTCCCGGTACACTGTCCTCGGGAAGCTGCGAGCGGAAGCACATTGCCACTAACTAATAAGGTTAATTGCTAGTAATATTTCGAATTGTTGAGTTGGAAATTGCTAAATGTTTGACAGCTACAAGAACAGTATTCAGCTGAGGAAGGAGAGAAATCGATAATCTCAGCAATATTTTTTTCTGAAAATTGACAATTCACTGTTAGTCTGAATGATTGTCTATGGTGAGGTCATTCAACATTAAAACAAAAATTCGGTAAGTACAAACTAAGCAGTTGCACATGTTCAGAGAAATCGGAAAAAGACATACTCCCTTCTCGGAAAGTTATGAATTAAAATATTCTACTCTGTCCACTTGAAAGTTTTCCGGATACAGCTAAGAATTTTGTTCTTATACAGGGGACGCAATAGACAATGCGAGAGAGTTAGAAAAATCGAATTAGAAAAGGCGTATATAGTTCTTCCTGAAAGCCAAGAACCAGAAATTTGGCACTTCTCGAGTGATTCGGACGTTAGGGTTACTTGGTTGCAAAATTTTAATATTTCAAATTCCTTGTAAACGATAGAATGTCCTTGGTTGATCAGTGTGGATTGTGCGCCTTCTATCCGATATAAAGCTGTTACAACTCACAATTTCGATGACGTCAATTGCCAACTGGTCAGGCAAAACGCCCGGGGAATTCCGAACTAACTTGATTAGCGTTTCGATCTCAAACTATCAACTTCTTATAAAAGTAACTGTTTCGGTTCCTTTGGCTGTCTTATTTCACATTCATTTGAAAGCACTTCCACACTTCTCTTATACCTGATCGATCCTTTGATGGGACACTTATAATGTCTACTCTCGTCCAGAAAAGTGGAGGACGTTCGGGCAAGTTGTTCGGGTTCTACGGACTTATAAAGTTATGGACTTCTTTCCGTTTCTCTAGCCCCCTCATTCTAAGATAGTGCGGGATATCTTTTCATGACTCTATAATAACTGACCATAGTTTTGTTCAGAAAAGATTAGGATATTATTTGTAAAGCCTTAGACATACATGCGAAGAAGGTTACTCTTCCTTTGAGAATTTCCGAAAAGTCGTGTTGTTTTTTCTTTTCATCCATTTCTTTAATTGTTGAGTGATATCCAAACTGGTTTCTTTTGTATTTATATAACGTTTAATCATTCCATTATTTCGATGACCTTAAAGTCTGAAATACTGCAACAGAGATTAAGAGTAGTGGAAGTCGAAGAATACTGTTCCCTCTTCTCATCTCCTTTATTCCTTACAATACACGGCTTCCTGGAAAAGTTAGGCGGGCTCTATCCATCTATCTGTTCTTAATATTGAATATGCACAATGAATTGTCCTTTTCTACAATTGAACCAGAGCCAACCAGCATAATGGAAATTCATAGTCTGGTAATTTCTGTTGCTGAGTATGTTGAAAAATAATTGGCTCTCAATCCATAAACTTTCAGAAAGAGTTGAATATGTCACTGGTGGGTACATAAGCAGTGATGAGAATAGACTATATATGTTAAAGCTGAAAGGCTCTGCAACAGAGTAAAGTCCAGAAAACATGCTCACGATGCACGACTTCCGAGAAACACGGGCTTCGTTGGCTTCTTTGCTACTTGAGACAAGCAAAACGGTGGGAATTTTTCTCAAAACTTGTTTGTTCAAAATGGGCAGCAGTTACGAGAAGTACTGGCATGATGTAGATATGAAACCTTTAACAAATAATGCGTCAATGGGAGCACTCGTGAGTCATCCCTGCATACTTATGTGAGGATCCACCGTTCAGTGGACATACCCTTCCAATAACTCTTTTTATAAACAAGGTCCAAAATAATTTTTAGTTTTTTGAAAACAAATTCGATTTCAAGATTTGTTGTTCGAAACTGCTTAATTAGTCCCCTTTGGCAGCGTTTTTCTCTCCTAGTTATCTTTTTTTCCTTTTTTTTCGTGTTGGACTTCGATCTTTCTAATATTAATTGCATTTTTTTTTTTTACATCTGTTGAAATGTTGAAATGCATTGCATTCATTCAAGCATTATTAATATTATGTTGTTGTTGTGTATCCAGTTCCGTATTTCGAATATATGGATCACTTGTATGAGGCAGTATGAAGCGAGAGGAAATTGAAAAGTGATCGCTAAGCGAATTTATCTTCCACATAATACCTCTGGATGATCCAAATTTAATGTCGTAGACTATGGAATAGATGCTGGATTTTGAAGGTGGAGAGAAGAAATGTATCAATGGAATTGTGACCAGTTTTTTGGAGGCGGTCATCATCCAGAGGGAAATAATCTGTATGACATCAGTATGTCTGTATGACAGTGTTCACTGTAGAGCAGTTTTTCAGCTTTTCTCACGTTTTCAACCCGACCGAATCAGTGATGGGGTCCATTTCTATAATGTTGACACTCCTGTCCTCTTTTGTTTGTAAATTCTTTTGCTATAAATGCACTTTTTCAAATGAAATTCAGAAGTAAATACATCATTCTCTCCACGTGTTATTGAAGTGTGCTTCTTATTATACCCTATTTAGTGAAAAATTGATTCATTCTTTTATCATACTTCATTTCCCGAAGCAGTACATAAAAATGTTTAAAAAGGGAAGCTCAAACAATTCAAAGCTCAAACAATTCAAAGTACATATTCTATGCAGTTTTTTTTCACGTTTAAAGAATGCGTCAACGTTCAGTACCGTCTTGTGCAGTTTTTTGTTGCAATATATTCTGAGACGTGTTGAAATTTACATCGAATTTTGTTTTAGTGTTGAAGAAAAAATTCAGTCAGGGTTTCCAGAGATGTGTGGGATTTTTGCTTATTTAAACTTCTTAACGCCAAGAAAGCGGAGTGAAATAATTGATGTACTGCTTAGGGGTTTACACAGGATGGAGTATCGTGGCTATGATTCTGCAGGTACAGATGCCAAATAACAAAAAATTTCAAGTTTTTTTAGAGTAGGACCTGAATTTTGACAAGACAAATGTTTGGTGTGAGATCTTATATCACCAAGGAAATTTTTCGCGCATATTTTACTTTTGTAATATATTAATAATGTAATTGCTGTGATGTCCAAGTGGTAATTATAGGACAGCTAACGGTCGTTGGAATCTGTAAATTTCTCCATTTACTCATAACAATAAGAAGTTTTATTTAAATTCAAAAAGTAGATAGTTTAGGACTTGCTGTGGATAATGAAGTGGATAACTCGAAAATTGGTTCGGAAGTAACTCTTCTAAAGAAGGTTGGTAAAGTCAGTGTACTCGAAGACTATATAAAAGGTATATATTTAGTGATTAAATAATGGAATGATTTAATCCCAGAAATAAGTATTTTTTCTTTGACGGCCATAATTATATACTGATTTGTACTGATTTGAAATGCTTATTTGAAGCTTATTTGAGTCAGTATTTAGAAAGTCGTGTCTGCTGTGACGATGTTATCTACAAAACACATTGTGGTATCGCACATACGAGATGGGCGACACACGGTTCACCCAGGGATGTCAACTCTCACCCGCAAAGATCAAATGCTCAAAATGGTATATTTGTTTCAATATGGTTTATAACTACTGAATATCATACGATACCAGCAAGCTTCAACTTCATTTTGAGGTTGTTTTTAATATACCTCCCATAATGTTGCAGAATTCTTGGTTGTTCATAATGGTATCATAACAAACTACCGCGAGGTCAAGGAATATTTGATGAAGAAAGGCTATGAATTTGAGTCGGAAACTGATACCGAAGTTATCGTAAAATTGATTCAACATATTACAAACAAGTGTGAAGGAGCTAGTTTCCGTCAGCTTGTTGAGGCCACCATCCAACATCTTGTTAGTATTTCATACTTACATCATTGTTCATCATAATAAACAGTTACAGTCGCTTGTTTATCCTTTTATTTAAAAAAGTACGAAAGTTCATTATTCTTTCATATTCATTATCGTTGCAGTCCAGTTTGAACTGAAGAGATAATGTTCTCGGGAGCTAGCTGCCAGAGTTTCAT